GCCATCTTTTTCTAAACTGCACGTGAGAGACGGAAGCGATTCTTGAACATCTCTCTCTCTCGAGCTCTCGAGCTCTTTCTCTCTCTCTCACTCTCTATCTCTCTGTTCTCTTGATCTCATACTCTCTCTCCTATGGAATAGAGAAAGTGATAAAGGAGAAAATGAGTGAAAGAGAGAGTCTGCTCCGTTTCGAATCTACTAGGACATGTTTTCTTACACTTCTGATCGGTTTTGGCGTAGGCAAGCCAGTATGATCCACACCTTCAGACCTAGATGTGTAAAGCAAAGCCCGATCTCAAACGCTGTATGCACCCGGACTATAGGCACTTAAGCTTATGGTATATAGAGAGATTTATTCTGAACAGAAATATCTACCAGGAACCAAAGCATTCTGAAAGATTAAGCTTTGCTTCGGGGTTTTTCCAAATATCACTGAATTCGGCGCAGGTGTGTTTGCATTTGGTTCACTGTGAGGGAGGAGCTATGTAGAGTTATCAAACAGGCTGCGACACAATTCTAAAGGGCAACGTCTCTCACAGGGGGTTGTAAATATCGTACATGTATATATTATGTGTCAAACGACGCCATGTTGGCATCCATTAATTTTGTGTGGGGCTCTGTGACATGAGACAGAAAAGGGACCGCGATTTGTCAACAAGATTCATGGTGTCATGATGACATCAAGAGAGGCGCATTTCTGTCGCATCTCCTTCGCATCACAAATCATTCAGTGGCATACTTTATCAACTATTTTGTATTCCACCTCGTGCCTCCATCAGAAGATCGATATACCGTATAAAGTAATTCAAAACTTTCTTGGAATGGCCAAGCACATGTATAATGTCCTTGGAATGGCTAAGAAAATGCATTGGGACAACAGCAGATTTGCAAAAACTTGACCAGGCCACTTCCTAGAGATGTTTCTCTAATTCCAAGAGACACCGGCTATGTCGTCAGTGTATATGCCTGATCAACATTCAAAAGATACACGGTGTGGGTATTTGACGTCAGGCTACCTGGGCCGTCGTGTATAATGCGTTCTGCTGTGCAATTTAAATGACGCAAGTAACGATGTTTGTATAATGCGTGTATGAAATGCCACTGCAATGTTATGTACGTGTCGAATATATAGTGTGAATAATGATGCAGGGAACGTGCAGAGTTTTAATATATGTCCTGCCATGTATTTCGACAATTATACACTGACGGTGTCCTTTTATTCTTCAACCAACCGACAGAAATGGTACAAACGGGCCAGACAATTAGACAGGCTTGGAAGAACCGATGAAGGCCTTTTTAGCCCCCCCCCCCTCCAAGCACTAGAAGCATAGTCATTTCAGTATTACATTGTATCATGTACATATGTAATGGAACTATATAAATGAATAATTGACGGTCAAAATTCTAGCGCTATTATCCTTTCCCACGTCTTATCACATTTCTAACTCCAGGAGGTTCCTAATTTCTATTTGTCTTGATTTTTACGTTTTAATCCTATCTTGATCGCCGGCTTACGTCACAGCTTGAGCTATCAGCGCTAATACCCGCATAAAACACACCCCGTGGTGTACATTTCGTCGTCAGTAGATTATCTTCGTACATTCGTTTATTACCTGTAACATAACGAACCCCATCTCTTGTACGAGCAGCTGGTCGCTACTAGTACATACAATACTTCTAACGTTCCGGCAAAACACTGCTTTATGAATATGATTTTCTGAAGACCTTCTCCGTCCAATTTCCATTTAAAAATGCATTCTGAAAGGCTTGTGCGCAAAGCAGACAGCCTTTGGTCTATGAAAAAAAAGTGTTCTTTGCACAACCAATTTGAAAATGAAAGAGCGCATTGAATGCTTGAAGTGGAGAGCCCTTTTGTGCACTCCAATTTGACGGGCTCAAGACGCCGACAATACAGAAGAGGACTTGAGAATTCTCTCCGCATTCGTGCTGCGTTGTTTATGATTGCGCAGGTGAAGATAAGTGGTGGGTCAGGGAAAGAGAGAAGAAAAACAGGAGAGGAGAGAAGCTTTCTGATCGATCCAGTATAATACGACAGCCCGCACGTCGTGATGTAAAATTCATAATACCAAAACATCGTCTGCTAGCACCTTGCGTTTCCTGCTCTGGGATCTGGGATTTCTATTTCGTACCATGTCGCGCGCGTGGTATTATCCTCCTAGGTATTATGAGCTCTGTTTTTCGGGTGGGAGGGGGGGGGGGCTACTAAAAAAACAGTATTCAGTTCTTGCCTGTGGGTTCAGGTGGCTTGCTCACCGTGCACGTGTTATCGTTTTATTATCACACCACAACACACATGGCGGGCTTTGGGATTGTCACGAAAAGTCGTTGAATGTCTGCTTCTGATGTAATGGTCTTGGACATATCACATTATTCCTTTTATTCTACATGTATACAACCCATGATCTCCTACCATGATGTTTGAATAGGTACTAAATTATTGAAACACGAATGCTGGGTGTATTTCTATATAAAGTCCTTGGTGTATAGTAGTAGACAAGCGTTTGGGTATTTGGAAGAATCCTTCGACCAAGTCGAAAACCCATTGAAAACAAATTGGTCTAGCAAATAAAGGGGCGGAGCTAAACGGAGGGTCGTGTAGATTGACAGATACCGTTAACATAATGTGAGAAAAATCCAGAACGGCCCACTCCCAAAATGACCTTGCTTTTTTGCTCAATCCTATAACATAATACATGTAATGGAACGTATTGATACAGCTGTACTACTTAGTAAGTTATTTTCAATAAATAGATTGGTTGCAAAAGCTGACACATGTACAATGATCGCTTTACCCGGCTAGATAGTAGAAGGGTAGAAAGAACACAATCGGTAGTGCCTTGCTGTCTGGATCAATGACTTCGGCTTAAATACGAACTGTAGTGGTGGGTCATGCAGTACAATTGTGATTAAAACCCACATCTATATTCGAAGGGCGGGGTGGTATCAAACTATAGCCATAGACAATAAAAGAGAGGTACATCACCCGACACCGTGTGGGTATGTTCACAATTCTTTTCAAAATGCCTTTCGTCAATTGTTTATTTCATTCTCTGTACAAACTTTATTACACCCCTTTCGTGATTCTTCTTGGTATGTCCCTTCGTGCACGTGAATGTGGACGTGGCACCACCTGTTTCTCAAATGGACGACTAACCAGTGACCAAATATTGTATTTGATTTAAGTCATTTTTCACTACAATGGAGAGAGGAGTCGAGAAATGTATTCTCTTATACTGGACAAGGCGCGATAAATTCATATCTTTTGAGAGTCTTTTGTTGCTTTACTTGAAGGACAAAGCACAATAACCTTATTTACAACGCTTCTTGCAATTACAAAAGGTTTATGACGTCAGCACCTACCTATGACATCATAGCCCCTGTAGAGTGGGGTACTTTTACACGTAGGGCCCTTCAGACTCTGTCCATAATTCAATGAAAGCTCCCTACGTGTGAATCCCGGACTTGACCTTTGCAAGCGAGCATATGCCCTTGGCAACAGGAATCGACCACTTTCTAGAAATCAATATTGCGAGCTTATATAAGAGTTTCGTTACAGCTTCTTTACTGAAGTTGTTATCCACTTACAACTGATAAATTGGACGTGTTTTTGTCTTTGAAAAGAGCATGAGAAGTCATTGGTGGAGGGATTATAGGTGCCCTTCTACAACAATTACTATTATACAAATCACGTATGCATCTGCTTGGAGCTTAGCGAAGAAAGACTGTAAAGTAACCATGCAAAAACGATGGTATCTGTCTGGCAGCACATTATTCAAGTCATGCATTGAAAGGGGAACGCATTAACGATATGGAAACATGAGTCATATTCGAGTCTAACACCCTGATTTTTATTGACAAAAATGTGATCTCCATGTGATGAGATACGAGTAAAATTACGTTTTGAAGCCTATGATTGGAATTTCTTGGAGTGTAACGTTACGTGTGACCCATTCATTTATCAATGGCTGTACTCGAGGGCACTGCCCTAAAAAATAGAGTATAAACAAGGCAAACGTTCACTGCAGAAGCAACGCAACACGGCCAATCAAATGTTGATTAGTTAAATTCTAATAGCGGTGAAGCAAAGAGTGTTCCCCAGGGAAATTTTTGGGTGATGAAACCTGCACCTCAGAAGAGAATATCTGACAGTTCACACGGTGGGAATGGTAAGCTTCTAGTAGCCTCTACCAGCCCTCAGCTAGAGACGACTGGAAAGAGTAGAATTTTGCCGAATAACTTGCCAGGGGAGTGCATACTGCATTTGGCCTATTTCTACTTTGCATCCTCTTGTAGATGGATCAGGCTAGGGCTACAACTTGAATGAAAATCAGGATCTGGACTCGTGTATATTAAAACATCAAAACATTTCGACCAATCTAATTAATGCAACCATGGAGTTAAAATTGATTTTAACTCCATGATGCAACATAGGAAACCTTTTTGGAAAAAAAAATGGAAGAGGTCCCAATCCTTGCAAAGTGACACTAATTTGTGTTGTTGTTTCTCGAACAACTGAATAAGCGTGAAGGTAGTGGAAAATGACACTAAATTATTCTGTTTACTGGACCAAAAAGCGGACCCGGAGATAGCCTATCCAAAACGCCTTTGGCGAGATAGGTCAAAGGGTAAGGGGTGACTGCAGGAAAGACTTTGCAAATATGACTGCTATTGTGACGAAATAGAGAGATATAAGACATGGAAAATCCCGATGATTTCATAGACATTCAATGTATATACCACTGCGGCCGGCTAAACTTGTCACCAACTAGCCATTCTCTACATTGGAAATTTTGAATTTCCCGCGTATATTTGAAGCATTGCATGCTGGAAGGGGAATGCGGTGCAGGGGTTTGACGCATTGCAGGGTTACGCTGACCAATCAGAGGGCAGGATTGTGTTGGCCACACCCATGTGTATTGGCGGGTAAAACAGACAAAGCCGCACCACCCACATCACCAGAAATTATTCCACCGCACAAATGAGTCCCCGTGGTTCATTGCAGTAAAAATAGTCACAGGGTTTCTCTATTCAATAATAGCTGTCGGTAAAGAGTATGACTTGTTATTGTTGCCCAGTAGTTCATGTATAAACAATCACTGCGGCAACGGAGGATAGGCAGGTTAGCGGCGAGCGGCACTGGGTGCGGAACGATACGGGTTCAGTGTGAGCCGGCTTCGCATGGTCTTGAAGGTGTTGCATAGGACCGTTACTTGTTTTGCAGTGCCTACGCTGGTGGTTTTTTCGCGTGTATAACCCCTACACAAACTTCATCTTTCCACAATGGTAAGAGGGCGTTATATTATTTTTCCTCCATTTATATATGGCTGAGTCGATGTGCATGTGTTTGGTTTAGTTTAGCTGTGGCACAGAACTTCTTGGTGCTACGATACGGCCTGTGGTAGCGCGTGCCTTACCGAGAAGCATGGTGAATCTGATACGTACGTACTACAGTGATACCATCGGCGACCCAACGCCTCTGGCTTTTCGGTCGACTAGATTAGCTGTGGGCATTCCAGAAGTCCTTTTGGGCCCAATATGGTTGGTGAAAAGTAGGACACACGTGTAGGATGCTTCTAGTTCGAAGCTAGTCCCCCAGAAACCACGGTAACATCAGACAGGATCCTGGAGTGTTATCAGATCTTGCTAAGGTGTGGGTGTACCTGGGCTGTCCGAGCAGTCAGTCTCAAACCCAATTGTGCAAATCAAGTTTATTTCCGACTGAACCGTATATGGAGGAAAGGGAAGTGTTGTAGTCATTGCGCAGTTAACTGCACAAGGAAATGTCTTGATAAAAAAATGTAGTTTACACATCTGTGTGTGTGTTTGTCGAGTTGAATATCGTCACTGGAGACTCGAGTGTTCCTCGGGTGTGTGGGAGAACTCTTCACACACATCACCAGGCAAACAACTTAATTTGTCCTTTGTTGTGGCACCACGAGTGGAAAATAACGGCGTAGGTAAGGATCAAAATCAGTGCTAGGTCAGCCATGATTCACACCAGTGAATGTTCAGAACGACGAGACGTGCTACAGTTGCAGTGCACACAGTCAGTGAGTGCACCATGAACGCGTAAAACAAGCCTTTTTCATCGTCTCGAATTTCTGCAGTCTAATGTTTCCAGGTACATGTACCTGCAGGGGAATACAAAGGTGTACCTGTCGTGCGCAGGTGTGTGCCCCGCGACGCCTGCCTACGCAACTTGGGGATGGGCATGTGTTGGCGGTGACAACACTGTTTAAACTTTAATGTGTGTCTGGGAGAGAGCGCGATGAATGACTGAATGAGTTAGATGTTTGTCCTTGCCGTGCCTCGCAACAGTAGAACCTCAGGCGTGTGCAAAGGCAAGATGCGGTTCACCGAGTTTTCCGGGCTGTGAGCTGATCAGTTAGGGTCAGTTTGGTCGATTGAGCCACACCCACCTGTGGGGTAAAGTAATTAATTACCAATCAGATAAAGTCCCAGTGGTGGGGAACTGAAACTCGGAATGTGAAAATAATGAAGTCGTAGATGGTGCCAGGTCACCTCCCCTTCCTCTACTTCATGAATAAAAATTACATTGCATACACATCAGATGTAACGTGCTAACCTCACGCTTTCTTTTCTGTTTGCAGGCAGATCAGCTGACAGAGGAACAGATCGCTGGTGAGTATAAACACCTTTTGTTCACCTGGCAACCATTGTGCCCAACTCTGGGCTTGGTTTTCTTGCCATGATATAAAGCCACCAAGCCAATACAATGTGGCCTTGGGTATGCTACTAGCCTAGGTATCAAGTACGAATTGTTGAAAGAATTATTTAGTCTTATCATGGATGGAATTTAAAGTGTGGGCCAAAAAGAAGCGCTAAACAAATAGGAAGGAAAGCAGAACAATAGATGTATGCAGTTCATTTATGCTTGCTTTCAGTGAGACTCTTTTTCAGCTGTACTGAATTGATGAGCCCATTACATAACTCAAACTTAATCATTAATGTGTAGAACACAATTGGAATCACCTTTGTAAAATATGCATGTGGGTTTTTGCATGATACCTATTGATAGGTAGGAATGTCACATTATGTGGGCAATGTATGCATTTTGAAGAAGTTGCTGTGGGCAAAAGTGGATATGGGGCAATCTGCCAATCATATTTTTCCTGCTTGGGCTTATCATTGCACTGAAAGCAGTATTAATTCCTTTTCAAAGTTTGAATGACGTGAGCATAGAAATCAAGAAAAAAATCTCTTTATGTATTTTGAAAATTCCTTCTTACCAGAGGAGTAAATGATTTGTCATGTTGATGGATTGGCTTCTAACCAATGTGACCTATCCATGCATACTAATATCTTCATACTGAAGTCAAACCCATGAGGGGCACATTATAAAGTCCTCTGTGGCCAAATTATCTGATGCAAAAAGCCCTCTACAGTGGCAAATTATTTTAAGACCATATTAGCATTTGGCATCAATTTGTTGCTGCGAGCTAACTGGTTTTATGCCAGGAAGCAAAATTAGGGGAATGACATTATGAGATTGTAAAGAGATTTAGGATGTGGGGATATTATTATGGTATGGGAGAATATATCAGCAGTAGTGGGTTGTTTCTTGGTTGGGATTCGAGCCATATGTCTTCACTACCCAGTAATAAATGAAGTCAAATTCATGTCACAGCCACATTACAACCATGTACACAACCTTTCCCAGTAATTACGCCTGGAGGGCAGAGCAGTTTGTTAAGTGAGGGGGAGACTTTTCAGTCAATTTGAGTTCAATCACTAAATGTTATTGATTTTTTTCTGAGGGCAGTGTCTGGCATTTGCCCCACGTCCCATGACATCCCAATCAATAGTAATCATGTGTGGAGAATTCCAGATAGACATAGCAGAGATGTGACTTGTAGAATGATGGGTACCCCTAGCACTGCAATAATGTTATGACAGTTGCAGCAACATCTCTGCAATTTGGGAACACAAAGGTGATTTGCTTTGTAATCAGCGTGCCAGGAAGTATTGCATGCATAATTGATGTACCTTTTATTGCCATGAATAATTGCAACAATCCCAGCAGGGAAACTGCGACCTTGGTGAATGATAAGTGGGGACATCTGTTGTGAATGCTGTTCATTGCTAAAAGGATGTGTTAACAATCTGTAAGCAATTTATTTTTTAGCATTTTATAATAGTGTTTGGTTCCATCATGATCTGTTGCTAACCAGGACACCATTTTGTTCTGTGTTGTCTGCAGAATTCAAGGAGGCCTTCAGCCTCTTCGACAAAGATGGGGATGGCACCATCACCACAAAAGAGTTGGGCACAGTGATGAGGTCACTGGGACAGAACCCAACAGAGGCAGAGCTGCAGGATATGATCAATGAAGTTGATGCAGATGGTAAGAACTTTATTCAGTGATGATGTCTGTAAATTGGTTTGGATTGATGGCTTGACTTTAGATTGAGAAAAATATCCTACCTGCCAACTGAACAGCAAATCATTAGCTGTTCCAAGAAGACTGGGGTGGGGCTTCTGGCAAGTCCAGGAAGTTGCTGTTAAAACTTGAGACAGTGACATACAGCTGAATGGATATAAGGAGTGGCACAAATCAGACATGAGTAATTTTCTTATTCCTGCATTCCAAGAAAGGGGTAGAGTTTTTAGAAGTTAGGTTGAGAGAGAGACTTTGACCTAGCTGGTTGTTTTGAATGGAGGTTTCGAGGCCAAGTGAGAGAATATAGTGCAAGGATGAGTAGCACCTATGGGTAGAATGTAGGGGCCATTCCTGACATTCACTGCAGCAAATTATGCAGTAGGGGACACGTGGAAAGTGTGCTAGGCAGGAAGATGTAATCAAATTGTTTGTTAGTCAGCAACCTTTAAGCCAAGAACCATCTCCAGTTTAAAGTGGAAGTATATAGCAGTATTGAGCATGTGGCAAAGTGGTCTGACAAGAATGCATGCGTGAGTCATCGATTGGGTGGTCATGAATGCTAGGGCCATGACAGCATGTTTACCACAGGCATTTCTTCTCCGGACACAGACACAGTAAATATTTGGCATCTCAACAGTGCCAATAGAGCAGGGCTACAGTGTTATGTCATGTTGTTTCTAATGATGGTACTGGGTCAAAATCAAGTTTCAGGGGCAGATTAGGTTGCAAAACACTTAGCACTTGACTGAATTAGCTGCCCCCAAAAGTCGGGTGACATGGTAGAATCAGACCACATTCCAATCCTAGACAGTAATTCTGGCACATCTAGATAAGGGAGTTTGAAAGTGCATAGTTCTGCCACTGTCAGTCATTATTACATCATTAGTCATGAAGGGAGCTTGTCTGTGACATGTCATCCTGATAGCTTATTTGTTTGGGGATGATTCGGGTATTTTGTCATTGGAAATGGTAACTCTTGTTTCTAACTTGGTTAGCACTAATAGTAATTGGATAGCACTAATAGTAGGGTTACTGGTAAGTGCGGAATTTTACCTTCGACCCCGTACTGGCCTGGTTTGTTGAACATGTAGTGACTCCTTGTTACTTGTTACAGGTAATGGTACAATTGACTTCCCCGAGTTCCTCACAATGATGGCCCGGAAGATGAAGGACACAGACAGTGAGGAGGAGATCCGTGAAGCATTCCGCGTGTTTGACAAGGATGGTAACGGCTTCATCAGTGCAGCAGAGTTGCGCCACGTTATGACCAATCTTGGAGAGAAGCTAACAGACGAGGAAGTGGATGAGATGATCCGGGAGGCAGACATCGATGGCGATGGCCAAGTCAACTATGAGGGTACGTGTGCACATCTATCCCCGTTCCTCAACTTCCACGTCTTTCTCTGCAGCTTCACTGGCAATTAGGCGGCTCTTTGAATCCTTCTGTCTTCATCTGTTGTGTAACTGGTGCTGTCTGCTCATTCTCTCCACAGAATTCGTGATCATGATGTCCAAATGAACAGATGTGTACCTTATTCCCCCAGCTTGATTATTGTTCCGGTTAGGTTCTTTATTCTGGCTTCCCTGAAAAAGTTTGCTGCAAAAATTTCTGGAGTAAAGAATGAAGCGATAAAACAGGACTGACACTGATAACCAGTAATGTCTGCACGATCAAATTCAACAGGCATCCTGGCAACTCAACATCTGTGGCCTTGCAGAGGGGGGGTGGTGTGTGTGATCTGTGCACCTGTTTGACAACTGTATAGTGTGTGAAGCATACAAACAGCTGTGTCCTGTTGCCTTGTGTACTGCATAACTTTGCTGACTTTCTGCATATTGTGTAGTTGAGCTTCTAGTGTGCTTTTTTAGTTATGCCTTGTAACTTGGTATGTATTTGCCTTGTATGCAAATGTTCTTCGTAAAATTGTTGTGTAGAGACGTAGATATTGCAACCTTATTTTATGTCACAATGTGAATTGTAGTAGGCAGTGCAGTCGTGGTGCATGGTTCTGGTACTGGTATTGAGTACAGGTTCTAATATGTTGTCTCCCTTGTGTTACAGAATTCGTCACCATGATGACGTCCAAATGAAGAGCACAACTGTTGTCAAGCCAACGTTCCATCTTCTTCTGTCTTTCACTGCTCTTCAGCATCTCCTGTCCAATTTATCCCCCTCCCTCCTGTGGGTCCGGTGTAGCTGTCCCATCTTTGGTGATTGTTTAGCCTGTGAAATGTCTGCTGTACTTTTAAAAAAACAGAGAAGGATTGATTGCTCCCACTGTCCAGATTCCTCTATTTTTGTTGTGACGAAAAGGAAAAGCTAAAAAACAGAAGACCCTCCTATTCTTGCACTGGTGATTTTGTGGACAAGAGATGTCGTGAAGGTCTTGATCTTTTTTGCAGCACTGTTTTGGTGACAGGAAGAAAATCTAAAACTCCCTCACATCTGGCCCTTCTCAATTTGTGTTCTTGTAAAGTTTTATACATATCTTTATTGAGCTGAGTTTTCTTGTAAGTACATGACTGCATTAATGGCTACTGTACTGTACTCTCTGGCAGATCAGGAACTACTGTAATGATGACAGAGTTGTATGAATGTCCAGTTTGGTATTCACTAAAGATGTTTACATTTTTATGAGAGTAAATATTGACAGGCTGCTAGGCCATAAAAGCAGTGCTGAGTGACCAAATGATAGCCCCAAGAGCCCTGGGCCCAGTCAGTTGCGTGTTTTGAACTGATTTTGGGACTGGTTACCACTGTGCGTCCTGACACAGGCTGTGATAGATCTGTGTGTCTTGGTTGTAAATCTCCTCTACTGTAGTGATCCACTTGTGTGAAGTGTGATTCACTTGAGTTGTAGTCTATGAGCCTGTGAAGGATGTTGTGGTCCTCGCAGTCGGCTCAGCAAATGTATTTGTGCGACATCTTTACTAATAAAACTAGCTCCACCTACATTGTCTGGTTCTGAGTTATGTTTCAAGGTTTGTAGATATGTGTAGGTTTAACTTTAAACAATAAACATCATGAAATGTTGATATTGAAGGATATAGGTGACCCCTTCAGATGATCCTGTTGCAGAGTACTAGTATACTGAACTGTTTCTGAGATCTCTACTTCATGCACACTGCAAAAGTGCATACACATTGATTTGACCCTGTGAATTCAATATGTCACAAGATCATGTACTTCAGTGTCTCAGCTTGACAATGATCAGAACATACACCATGCAGAAAACCACACATTTTCACTATGATTAGTATGAACTAGTTGAAAACCATGAACTTAAAAATAAGGAGAACACCTACAGAAAAGGCTTAAAGACCTACATCGCGTAGAACAGAAGCCCACCTGACCACAGGAAAATCAGAGCATAGTGCAGAGTATGGCTGACCTGTGAACCCAAGTCACATACCAAAACACGAGCCGGTATTATTTTTTTTATACATTTACTATTTGTTTCACGAAAAAAAAGTTCAAGCCATCCGGTCTAAGGTTATATAGTTCAAGCATGTTTTCTTACAATGCGGCATTGTTTCATGTCATACGATCACAGATCAACGCTCAGAGCAGACAACATCAACTAGACATTCTTAGATCCGTAAGCTTTCTTCTTGTTCCACGAAAACAGGAGACTCGCTTGTCATCAAAGCACATGAACTGGAGTGAAACGGAATGTCAGTAAACAGCTATGCCTGTACGTCGGCGTGTCAAGTAAGGACAGTGTTGGGATGTACGCATATTCAATGAGACACGAATTCGCACGGCTTTTGGCAACTTCAGGATGAAATGGCATTGACAGTACAGCGCTGTGTTCTGTATCAAGAACACTAGGTCTAATCTGATACGACTTATCAACATTGAGTTTCAGCATTGATAAAGGCCAGTTATGACGACAGTGTTGTCTAGGACATGAGGTTAGTCTGTATGCAAGGGCACATGTACACAACCGGGCTTTCAACGTAAAACGGCGTCCAAAGAACAGTGATGAACGTGTGTCATTTTCTAGAAGACAACTTTGCCTACAATCAGCACACGCTGGTGTCACGGTCCCATAGTCAGCTGATGAATTTCAGATAGCCTTGATGGATTCTTCGGAACTAATTACATGGTCACTTTCCTGGTCTTCCATCGTGGGGGACATTAATATGGCATCTTTTATTGGATTCGTTCCGCTTGAGTTGTGCGTTTTAAACCGTTCAATATTCCCGAGAATGATAAGTGTCGGCTGGGGACCAGCCCTCGGCCCATAGCTGTCACATAGCCGTCTAGTTATCCGCCAGGCGCGCAGATTGATGTGCTATGTAATCACTGCATGATGAAGGAATTGATGTTCGGTCGGCGCCGCCAAGAGTCGCGACCCCTGGCGGCGTCATCGATCTCTGTCGGCCCTCCTGTCGGACAAGATCGGCTTCTACACGCGCCTCCAATCCGCTGGCAGCACATTCATAATCTTACAAATGGCCCGGCGTGTTTCATGCGGCGTGAGTTTCGCACGCTTCAAAGTTTCTGGTCGTGCATGCCATGCTAAAGAACCAAACGCGGCAAAAAGACGCGCAAGACACACCGGGCCACAGCGTCAACTCTCCTTATTCCACTGGGTACCCTATTAAGATCGGGGAAAAAGATTGGTAATCCCCGTAGCAAACACGCACCACATTTAAGATATCCTGGTGTTTTTTAAAAGCTATAAGACATCCTTGAGAAGGCCTCGATAACACCTTTTATTTATGTGGCGGTCTTACTCTGGCGAAAATATGAGAGCTGAATGGAGATTAATCAATTCATTTGGCAGAACCTGAAAAATGGCTGCAAACATCGAACCGGAAGACAGCTAGTCGACAGAGACGCACTGCTTCCGTTAGCTAAAGACAGCCCAGTTCCTTTGGAGCAGATCTAGGGGAAGAGAACCTCTGATGTAATTATCTCCATCCTTCCGCTGGAAAAGGACAGTTGAGACGTAAGTTGTATGACAGGTTCTGGGACAAATGCCCAAGTCTTCAACCGTAAAATTACCATATTAGGAAAAGAGAGGATCCGATGAAATCGATCGTGATTGGTTGTGATGGAAATTGATTATACGACGCAAAGAAATAGGAAGTAATTGGTTTACAACTACGGAACGATTTACCCATTATACGGTCTGGCGCTCAGTTTCAATGTTTCAATATAGTTATCTAAGAAAAGAAACGCACAGCCAATGAAATGTGAAATTGTTGCACAAATATTTTGACACAGACTACAATAAAAGCTTTATACGTCGAAACCTTTATTCTTATTGCAATCTTTGATGCTTCAATCTCAAAATCCCCACATCTGCTTAAAGATTTAAGATCTATAGGAAACGTTTTACCCCTGTGCACTTATCCAATCGCGCATATGATCTTCAAGCAGATGTGAAGAGGGTTCTTTCGTCGTGCAGGAGACGTTTTTCCATGTGTAGATGAGGCAAATACGCACAGAAAGACACACATGATGAGCTCCTTTGAACATCTGTTTGGAAAGTACGTTAAGTGTTATTCTATATTAAAAGGGCCCATAGAAAACATGGCATACCCAACTTGTGAAAGAAATGGCGTCTGCGTCCTTGGCACTTACGTTCAGACCACAGAGAGGGTATCAGTCACAAGGAAACATTCGTCAAAGTCTCAGCTATGTTGTTTTTAAAAACAAGGGAACAGTGGGAAAGGAGACCTTATTACAACGGCATTCATACATACAGACTATTTGATAATCACAAAATTTAGCCAAACTAGAATGTCTAAATTTTGTCAAATCGTGCGGTCCGGACGTCCAAATCGCTGACAACGTACATGTCCGGTTTGGTCAGGTTTGGTCACGTGACGTTGATTGGTACTAGTAATCATTTCACATTTATTGTTCTAGAAGTCATGTCTGGAAAATACCACAAGACCGGTTCATTATAATCCATAACTGGGGCACAGCCAGCCATATGTTTATCCATTGGGAAGAAAAACTGGCAAAATGTAAGGCTTTTCACCTGTCAGGTCTAAAATAAACATTGTGCATCATTCATTGCGGTCGCTGTTTGAATGTGGTGTAGCTATTGGCTAATATTTTCCTTCCAATGGAACAATACCATTTGGCGTCACCTAGCAACTCGCGTCAATTTCAACCCCGGTTCAGTGATAATGAACTACTTTAGTGCCCTAGAAGGTATCACATAGCAGTTAGACGCCAATGTTTTGGAGAACACAATCACATGTAGCATTCATCTGGTCTTCATTCGAACTGAACGGTCCTTGCCAGCAAAAGAAAATTCCTTCAAGTGAACCGCGGTGTTTCAAGAAACTTGAAAAGGGACGATGTTTTGTTAAGATGCAGCCGTGTTGTTCAGAACAGTTAAGGAAAACAGCGAGAGAAGACAGATGTCGGCGCGCACGGCTTCAGCCCCGTCTACTACCCAGGACAGCAGTCTGGAGCAGGTGACCATGGCCAGCGCCGCGGCTCCTGTAAAAAAGGTAACGTTCTTACTTCACATTCGTCGGACGGTCGTCGCACAGTTGCAAAGAGAAGACATTCTTTTGGATAGTCGTGGTTATGTCCTAAAAAATTACATGTCTTGTTAAGGAAAACCCTGTCCTAGATCCTTATTGGCGGTGCTGTCATCAAAAGCCCGCTTGGAAATTCTAAATTTCACATGCCACCGATCTTGTGACCGTGGGAAAGGCACTTTACACGATTTTGCCCACTTCGCTCAGGTAAAAATGAATATTGTATTGTCCCCTGTGTTGTTGGTGTAATATAACTTTAATAAAACTTCAGTGTGCCGTCACCACGTTTTGTTGTGTTGGAATTTTTAAAAATTCTAAATTCTACGACGAATGCGACCTAGCCGTTCGCCGCGCCCATATTCATCGGCGTACGATCATTCTTCAGCCAGACTGTGGCCCAGACAGAACACACGATCAACAAGGACTGCCTTTTTTCATCAAAATCTGACAGATAAATTTTTCACGACACAGACACAACAACTCACGAATTTGCTGTCGTAAACATATCGCACGACGAATGTGTCCGAATGTAAATACTAGAAAAGAAAACATTTACTTAGGTTATAAACTATAAGGCGTACATCAAGTGTGTGACAGGCAGTCTCATGAAGCAGAATTGGTCAAAACAGGGAAACACTAAATTGGAATATAAACATTGAGCGTAGCAGCGAACTAGTTCAATGTGAAGAGTAACGGTTTAGTTTAGGTTCCTCCCTGTATATACAAACATTGTCCGGGTATTTGGTGTGTTTTGTCAAAAGCTTGTCCGCAATGTTTCGTAAACTGGCTGGTTTCTTTGTTGAGTCACGAACGGAGAAGATTTGCTAATGTTTGAAAAGGTGTCCTGTGTCTGAAGTTTGTTTTCGGCTACAGGTTAAAGTCTGAGCCTTGTAGTTCACACATCGAGTACAATGTTTGCAGAACTTTCCACAGCTGAGGTTGCCAGGGATGCAGATCCTGTGAAAAATTGTTGAGACGTCGACGATTATCGGAGTCCATTTTTTTGCACACTTAGCTGCAGACTGGAGCTGGTTATTATGTTTCCTCGAATCTAGAGCTTACATGTATAACCGCATCCTGGCATGTACAAAAAGAAGACAACAAAACTCAATATTCCCTTGAACATTTGGTGATATCTTCATGCGAACGCAAAGTCAATTTGAAGGGCGGTAACTTGTAAGATATCTTTCTATGCAAATGGGCATAGTTTATACTATTATCCTGCAGAAACAATGAATACATCAAATTGAAAACTGTAAAATGTCTGTTTGAGGTGAAAAACTGTTTAAACCTCTTAGACCATTCTAGGAGTTTTGTCGTTGCTACATTCATGGTGGATATATTTTGCAATGCCATGTTTGGAACGTTCACTTGTACAGTGTCAACAAACAAGTTATCATATATCAACCAGTGAAAGGGCTTTTGGTCTTACTTTCTACTGCAGTGTAAGTAAAAATAACATCTTATACCATCTGGTTGGGTCTTATATGACGGTTCTGCCGAGTTTGAAGACTAGGTAATGTTGATTTGATTATATGGCATCCGCGCGCGCATGAATTTCCGTCCGTTTCCAAAATAAACGTTTTCAACCATACTGTAAATCGAACAAAGCAGATGCAAAATGAGCAAATAATGCCGTAAATTGCAAAACAAAAAGGAAAACGATACTTATATATGAAATCAATTCCAAATGAAAACAAGAAAATGTGAAGAGATGAAAATGAAGAGTCTATTGATTTATTCATCATACCGTATGCTGTGTGTTTAGTCAGTCATTTTGATAAAGCTGCTAGGGGGGGCAGGATTTTTTGCTTCTTCACAAATATAATTAGAATTCAGTTATTTTGTTCACAAACAAGCAAAGGAACACGTAGACGAGGAAACATATTATATCTCAACGTGGGAGGTATAAAATCGAACAACAAGTTGTCAACCTTGTATTTGCCACGACTGTGTAAAACTAACACTTGACCGACCTATGACGTTATACCCTTGTGTACATGTAGATAGTGAGACAGCGCGGGCGAGTCCATTTACCGTCGGTGGTTTGGTTTTTCCGTTTACTCCAAAGTACACCTGTTCTCAAACCACCTGTCGCACTGCACCTGTCACTCAACGTTCCCTTCGCCCTGTCGGACGCCGACAAACCCTATAATTAAACCTTCAAAGTTTTCTAACTATCCACCCCTCCTATAGTCGTTCAACAAGCCCTGCTAGGTCAGGACACCCGCATACATACTGCATGTATGCAAATGATACTGCCTATTGTGTTACCACCGTTGCCACGGACGCCCTGGCCGGACAAAGAAACCCATTTTGTGAGTCAGCACGGAAGCATAGGGGAACCACGAGTTGGTATTCATGTGTAAGGGTGGACACTATTGAGGGAGGGGGTGCAAAATGTCTGCTACCGGGTCCCATCCCAGCCGGGCCCCGACCAGGGAACGGTCGGGGTCGGTCATGACTAAAGACACAATCGCTTCAGAGATCGACTCTGGAAAGGTGAGATTTATTCTAGCTCAAACAGGTGTGTTTATACCGAGCGTTAGACTGAGCAATCAATGTCTTGTTATGGTATAACATAGCACGGGCTAATTCTACCCTTTATTCCCCGTTCTCACAGAGAAAGAAGAGCGAAAACATGATGTGGGAAGGGCCGAGGTCTGGCCGGGAATGGTGGCGTTCCTGGTTGAAGGTAGGTGTGCGAACGAACAACGATAAACCATGGTGTTTATCTCAAGGGACAGGGATTGACCTCGAGTATTTGCCATGCCAACAATTGGTGTACAGTCGGGTGGATATTAGACCCCATATAGGTCACAAACTCGTAGTTAACCACCATAACGTAAGTTTTATGCTAGTGGTAAAACAAAGTGAACATTAGACAGTGTCTGTGTACGTAAGGCGTTTTCTTCTTCAGTAATTTTCACGGCTTATTGAACTATATGTCAATCCTCTCCAGATTAAGTTGTTTACTTTACTTCTTAACTGAACCCCTCGACACACGACCACGGACCAGCAAATGCCTTCCTTAAGGCGTTTAACCTCTCGGTTTACTTAACTCAGGTAGAAAACTAGACACTTTCCTTTTTCTTCACAACACCTGGGCAGATTACCTTTGATTATCCACGGAATATCCCTCTCGTAGTGTAAGTTCTTGTCGAAGTCAACAATACCCTTAATTATATGTTGCTCTCGTTGCTATGTAGTTATATTTGGGAGGTCAACAAGTGAGAAGCTAAAAGACGACATTAGTTACTTGTCGTCAAGACCTTTGATGTAAGAAAAGATACACAAACAAGTTAGAAATGAGTTAGACAGAGTTCAGAATCTACGTTCTCGCCTATGTTACTATCACAACGAGGGTAAATATTAGCTGTCTAAATGTGTTTGACTTCTTTTTGTGACCTTTTCTATATCAAATAGTAGCTAGGTCCCAACTCAAGTGATATGGTCCTCAAAGGTGTTCTGAACGATTTTTAATGTCTTGGAGATGTCACAGCGAAAAAAATTACTACCTGACCGGTAATTAGGGATGCAAACAACCTAAATACACCAGAGTTGCTTTTCTCAATTCATGGCAGACAAAAAAAGTGCTGACCGAATAAGGTCGAAGTTAGATGTCAGGGATACAAATTGTACCCGTCAACATGTAGTGATAGTTGTGAATTGTCTTGCTGTTTGGGTATGATGAATATCGGTCCATTTTGTGCTGCATGAGTAATTTCGTTTTGCGTTCAACTCAACATTGTTGAGGATTTTAAAGTATTCTCTAGGACGAAACTTTAATGTTTCATTTTATAACAACATCATAAAACCATGCGTTTATTTTCTCCCATTTGCAGTGGTTATGTACGACCAGCACATTGATTATCTGTAAGGTTGAGCATTTGAGCTAGTTAGGACCAAAACAATGTCGATTTGGAAGCAATCACCCAGGTTGATATTCAACACGCTTGTATGACGCAACAATATTGTGATAAAGTATATTCTTATGTACAATAGGGGCATCTAAGAGGTGAACAAATTAAAAATACTTGAACTCTCTGCCCCACAGGAAACACCAGTACCTGGGACATACGAAACTCGGGACTTTCTGGAGGACCAGGAGCTGAACCCTGTGCCCATCACCTACAACTTCAAGAACGAGGGGCGGAAAAAAGACGCTGACGTGTTGAGACGGGGAGACGTCCTTCTCCCCGGGGCCTACAATCTTAAAGACTTTCTGTACCCCATGCAGAAATCCCTGTACACTTATTCCTTCAAGAACTCCAACAGAGACAACAACAGGGTGCTCATAGGGGTCAGGGATAAGGTAAGGACAAACCTTGATTTCCAACTTGTGTTGAGTTTCTACCGGTACAAAAAAAGTAGTTTTAACGTTTTTAGTGTCTCATTAAGATTCATTTTGGAGAACGCAAAGGTTTAGCAATGAAGTAAACAAATTTAAAAGAAGTTACATGTATAAGACCTTTTTTTAGTTAGTTGACGTTTGACCTGTGATTTTTGTTCTACATTCACAGGACCACAGAGTCGCTCCTTGGGAGTACGAGACGAGATTCCCTCCTGTCCAGAAGTCTGGGTCAAAGTAAGAATTCCAAAATCTATCTTCACATCTGTTAGATAGCAAAACATTCACGTGTGTGACGTTTGTCTTGGTATATAACCTTGTCCTGTCAAGTACCTCCCATACCTGTTGCAAATCCGTGTTATGAATCATATGATTCAATTACATGACTACTAGTATTCTGCAACCATGTTCTTGAAATCACCGCATATTCAAAATGCACTCCACAATTCAATAACGCAATTTATCAAATACAAATGCCAAGTGTTTTTTTGTTCATCACAGGAAGAGTGGTACACTCAGAAACACGTTTTTATAATGCTGTGTTCTTTGCAGACACTCGATGTTCCGGTCCAGTAGTCAGAGGGTTCCCAAGTATTTCGTCCCGGTACGTACACCAAGTTTGTTCTTGTTGTTGTTCAGACAGGAGTAGAGAAGACGCCTTTATTTAATAACAAGTAGCATGTCGAAACGAATTTGCCCGATCCCTATTTCATTAGAAAAGTGTAAGATACTGTTTATATGTTTTATCTCCAATGGGCTATTTGGAAAAGTCGGCCGAATTCGAAGTTAAACTTCAGAGGTCTTCAGATTCAGAATAAACCAAACAGTAGCCAAATGGAACAAATGCGCTCGCATCTTGTTAATCTAGTCTTTTAAGCTTAATTTCATTACACAGTTTTGAAAAGAGGAAAACACAAAATCCATTTTCTAACCCTGACTGTCCGTGAAAAGCAGAGCCCGTATAGTTGGGTGGTTAGGAGGCGTCGCCCTGGATACCAGGGAAGGGAGAACGTAAAAACAGGCCACATTTGAATGAGAAACAAAGCGTCGAGCACAAACTGAGTATCCATTTCGTTCTGCTCTTTGTCCCGAAGGGTTTTTAATCTATGCCCTCCCCCCAAGCGCACAAAGAAGAGAGAGTAACAATGTCCATGTAGGTCAGAAAAGGGCTCTCTCACTCTTTACAATTCATTACGTCCTTTCTGTTGGGAGTGTGGACTAGTCGATTGGGACTGTTCCATTTAGAAATGTTGAGAGGGACGGACTTGACTTTCTTGTTGAAAAAAGTTTTTTTTTTCGATGAATAAATGACTATGGTGTGAGGCGAGAACACTCGACAATTAATTATGCAAGTGTTAAGATTTATGCGGCATTATAAGACATATAGAAATAACCAAGCCTTGATGCAACCTTTTCGAACCTACATTTGGCCAGGACTAGTTGAAATAGTACAGACCATGTTACTTTTTCTGAACAGAAGAAACAAAATTGAACAATTTTTTTTTCATTTAAACATACTGACTATCATTTTATACCTTGTTCCCTCCTAACAGAAAGACGGTCCGGGTCCAGGCGAGTACGAGTACCAGGCGCCCGCCACTGCCAGGACGGTCACCTCCAGTTTCCGCTCCAGAACACCGCGATTCCCTACCTCACATACCGTACGTACACGGCACACTTTTCACTACAATAAGGAAAATGAAAGATTGGATCAAGGAGGTTCAATGGATATTGATGACTCGAAGAGCGTTTCTTTTATAGAACAGTAAAGTACTCTTCCCACAATACCATTTCAAAAAAGTTTTATTGCATCCCTGGATTATAAGCTATGAAATTATTGTATGCAACATCCTCTCACCTCGTTGCTGATGACATTGTTCTAACATTTTACAGAAGGTACCTGGCCCTGGATCGTACGAGTCGACCTACCAGTACCCGAAACAGCCCCGAACTGTGGCGAAGATGGGACGTCACCACGGGCTCTTCTTCACTAATAGTTTTGACGTCGTAGTCTAAATACATTTTGTACTAGTAATCCGGCAGCTAAGGGATGGTTACCAAACGGTAATACTTATATTACCGGAAATGTATGCCCAAGAATTCTAAAGTTGTGCCGGAATAACTCTCTCGTATGCGTGAATTTATACACCTGTACGAGATGAACGTCCTTGCTGATAGCCTTAAGACCTACAGATACTGTAAGGAAACATCGACTAATATCATTTTACCATAACCTAAATACGCTCAATGTCAATTTAGTGTAAGGAACAAAGGAAAGGGTCAAACATATAAGTTAAGTATCACTTTTAAGACTTGTAGTAAGAGAAATACATGCAATTACTTAAGGGGGACTTCAGCCTGCCGCCAACATTCATAGATTTGTCGGTAGTTCCAGAAGTTAGAAACTCTTCGAAACCGTGTTGATTGCTGACTTTTAGGTCCATATTTTGAGGTCTTCTTAAAGAAGGCCATTCCATTTAAGATGTCAGGGAAGGTGCTGACAAGACGTTCTGGGAATGTAAGGAGCATGATGTTGGAAGAATATAACTCCTTTCTACCCCTTCCACATATCTTACCATGAACTGATTTTAAGCCATTTCCAAACCTGCATTTTGGCTGCTAAACTACACGTTTTTTGTACATTATCATTTTATTTGTGAAAGAAAATGGATTTAATTTTCTTTGCCGTGAATGCTGCTAGTTGTTTTGTTGCTGTGTGTTATATAGGAACCATATGCACACACAAGTCTCTACAATGATAGTATTATTGTGAACCTTATTTTATGATAAGTTCATGTTTTTTCTACACCATAGATATTTCTCTACATAGATTTGTAATAAAATTATCAATAGAGTGAATTGTGTGTTATTTATGGTGTGTTTATGAACATAAACCCAGCACTCTATACACCAAAACATTAAATTTCTTTTGATTTGCATGGACTTGTAATGAACAAGGGAAGAGAGATCGAGAAGCTTTAAATTCACAACAAATGTCTTCTTCATGTAAAATGAAATGATCACAATGGAAATATTATTTGCACAGTCAAACCTGCCCAAGAAAACCACTCAGGGGACCAATAAAATCTGGTCTACAGGGACAGGTGGACACTATAGACAGGATTCTTCATGCTTGTGTTAAATTATCTAAGGTGCCACAAAACAAAATTGAAGTGGTCACATTGGCCAGGTGGCCCTTACGTAGAAGTGGTCACTTGTTCAGGTTTGACTGAGTTGCATTTCAAAACACAGGCTCTGGAATGTGAGGTACATCGTGGTTTATCTACATTTCATCATTCCCTACATTAGGCGGGTCTAGTTTCATTAACTTGTCAGCAAACTGGCAATGAAAGCAACATTATTTCAAGAACAACATGTGCAGCTTTATACAATGGGAATCAACAAACATGCTATTTAACTATATCATTAGCAGGACAACAGCGAATAAATACATTTCATGTAAATTCACAATGTGCATTAATTTGAGGTAAATGAATTTGCATAATTTCTGACATGAATTTACATTTATTTTACAGTCCCTAAGTCAGTATTTTAGTTTCACATTCTGAAACATTTTATAGAGATACTTTTGGATCTCACCAAAAATACTTCACTTTGCTTCTACCATCAAATATACCTTCTTCCACCCTGTTTTCATTCCACAGCTAGTAATCAACCTTCAACATGCTAACTTACTTGTGTAACAGCACCAGGTTGGTACATAAGGTTCCACTTTTGCATGTTAAGGGTTAAAGGGCCATGTGCTAACATGGTATCAACTTCCCTTAGACAAAGTCTCCTACCTTGTCGGATATAAAGCAGGAATGTTAAACTGCATCATGAAGCACTACGAGTAGGTCTCTGTACATCTACATGTAGAAGTGCACCCTATGAATTGCAATTCTTGGCTACTATATTGCACTCTATGCAGCTTTCTTTCCTTTCTACATTTGTACATATACTTGTCTTATTCTTCTCTTTAGTGCACAAATTTTACAGCGTGGTTCTGTGAAACACAAAAAATTGCATTGTAGTTGCCTGATAAAGTCAGCGGACATTCAAGAAAAGTACTTTTGCACTACACATCCCTCAACTGATAATTGTTATAATCATTATGCAACAATTAAAGCAGAGGAAAATAGAAACGATCAAAGTAGGCTTGTCACTTTCACAGAAACATTGAAATCAGATGTTAAAAACACAGTCATTTATGTACAAAGTCCAAGATAGCAAAGACTGCATTAACAGAACAGCTTAAAATATACTACAGCACAGGGTAGCTTTTGTTTCAGTCTATCAACTTTCCTGTTTACAATGTAGCTGTTTTGACTAGCTCTCTATGTATCAGACAGTAAAACATACAGTTTATATAAAACCTGCATGTACATGTAAATTGGTGCTGCCTGCACTAGCTGGGCACCTAAAGGCTTGAAATCCAGGCATACTGTACACCCTTTGTTGTGAGATAAAAGAACAGTGCACAGTGTATTGTTTCCAAGAATAAATGCAAATTGCAGTCAGATAAATCAAAATTTACAAATATTCTTTTCTATCAATTTTTGTTAAATGTCCAAAAGGCTTGTCTCTGAGTCATCAAAACGGACACAAGAAAATGGCTGCTGAAGTAACATGTTCTGCAGCACTTGTTTTCAGTAGTTGCAACTATGAAATCCAATATCTCAATACAATCCCCATGCCCTTTATCTTTCTACACTAGATCCTCATTTTCAAAGTTGAACTACACATGCATTTGCATCTCAAACATGACAGCATATTTACATTCTGAACTTACGATAATTTCATGACAACAAATGAAAAAAAAATGTACATAGTACTATCTACATGGCTTGTAATGCACAACAACATCATTACAACATAATTAACACTTGTTCCACATTTGTACACAAACACTTGATTTTTCAGGTTTGGCACATTTACAGCACCAATAGAAACTATCATTATCTCTACATATTGCTTTATAGGGATTACAGTCCTTTTTAAAAAACCTTCTCAGGTATATTTACACCAATCTCTATAATGTTCTCCTGCAGTATTGTTCCTAAGTATGAGAGCTGTTTTGGCATGATCTTCTGAAAACCATTATCTTTTCGTGGAAAAAAAATCTCTAAATCTAAGTGCTTCTCATTCAACATTCAATGTACTAGCCCTCAAGACAAGCTCTGTGTTGTTTCACTGATTTTAGTCCCTGTTGTTTTGACTTCTTGGAGGATTAAGACGGCAAAGCAGCAGGTGAGGAAACAGGTGAAGAGCACAGGTATGAAAGGAGAGATGGTGGTGTGTGTACTAAGCTCTTAATGGCAAGGACAGTAGGGTGGTCCAGTGGATGAAACCACTCTTACTACCACACTGGGAGGGGCATTTCATGGGGCGGACAAATAGAGCAGCAGAATGGACTATTCCAAATAGCTTCTGAAAGGCCCAACAGTTATCCTCCACCAGGCCTTCCTACAGGGTGTATGGATTAGGTACAATTGGCCAGGAGAGTCAGACTGTGGGAAATTTGTCTGTAGTCTCTCTGGTAGAGACTATTCAACAGTAGCATTTGACGAACAACTACGAAGCATTTTGTGATGCTGTCATGTACGACCAATGGGGTCAGCTGCTACTCTATTTCACACAAGGGTTTGGAACAGTAGGGCAGGTGAAGGGGTCTGTAAGGAAGGGTTGACAACAGCATGTGCTTATTAAGCATAGCTAATTCAATAGAGGACTAGCTACTGTCAGTGTAGCTATTCTGTACTACTAACAGGGAACAGCAGGTGCTGTTCAGTGCAGCTGTTTAGGGATGATGGAGAACTGTACCACAGGGCTGGAGGCCTCCAGCTCCAGTGCTGTGAAGTAACAGTCTGTGGCTGCCAGGTGATCCCCCTGGGCCTCCAGAACCTTGCCTAGGTTGGCCCTGTGGTGTGATGACAGAATTATGAGAAATGAGATATCACACCCATGTACACCAGTGCAGTACCATACAAAGCTGCTAGATTACCCATAATTGACCTCCCTCAACCTTTGTTGTCCCAACATCACCACCAAATATCATGAAGATACATGCACCACACCCAAAGGTAGAACCATTTAAAACATGATGAAGGAAATTAAAATACAATGTCATGTTAAGTCTTCACAGTGTATTCCTTGCTACTAGTGCAGTTAGTTTTCACGAAAAAATTGTGTCTTTTCAATCTTCATGTGGTAAAACTTTCCAGCTTTTATTGTACAATGATAGAATAAAAACAGTACACTGAAAACAGAATAATGTGCTTTTTTTCATACATATGTTGAATGTGGTTGTTTGACTTCATTAGTCATTATGGGTGACACATTTGAGTTGTGGCATGCAAAAGATTGATGTAGTGAATGTTGCTAATGGCTACATTCATGAAGGTACATCATGATCACACATTATGACTACCTTGATTGATTACCTGATTGAGGGTTAAGCCACAGTGTTGGTAGTTTGGCACATAAAAGTATTTAATACCCTATGTACGTGTACAATACACCCATCATCTGTCTTACGTGTAACTAAAGCTTCTAGGAGCTTATAAACTGGACTACTACCTACACTATAATCTGCTTTATCTGTGAGCTTATGATAATTTGGGTTCACCACATCCTGTAATATTTCACTGTAATTACTCCCCTGTAAGGAATTCAGGATCAATAAAAGTAGCGAGGTATTAAAAAGATAATCACTGCAGATTTCCTGTGTTAACCTTTAAAAAGCCATGATAAGAGCTGTCTCACCAGGCCTCGTGTGCAGTGTTGTCTATGCTGACAGCATCTCTCAGGGCCTTCTCTCCCTGAACAAGGTTCCCCAGGTGGTAGTTAGCCATGCCCTAAATAAAACAGAATCAAAGCACAGTCAATGTTATACTTAGTGACCAATGTTACAGTAGCCACTTTGATCTCTTTAGTTTATTTTCCCCATTGACTCAACTATTACGAATCCTGCCTATATATAGTCACTAATTGTCTACTACATGTACCGGTATATGTCTGTTTCTATTTTGATTCAGTGATTCATGATCATAAAATAACAGGACCATATTTTTGAAAGCTATGCATCTGTAACTTTCCATACTAAAAATGTAAGAAGTTAATGGATCATGTGTTAGGAAATGACAAAGATGTGATTTGTATATTTATATCGTGATCTGTACTACTAGCTGTACTCATTTTGAATAGAGTCCGGAAAAAAAGAATAATTTCATTGTCATGTTTAAGTTTGATCAAAGGCAGAACATGAATTTGTGACCCTGCCTTCAGATTGTGGAATATGAATATAATATTTGATATAAAAATTTTGTACAGCTATGAGGAGGAAATATGCCCAGGAGCAGTATACTAATGAGCAATCTTTCTTATGATATTGATATTTTGCAAGTGATAATATTATGAAATATACACCCCGAATGCCCATGGGGAAAAATATTGTGCTCACAAGCTTAAACAAGATGACATAATTATTGATGACTCAGACATTCAATCACATATCAAAGTTCAATGAACTAGTTTCCCACAGCATCTGCAATTCTTCAAAATCTATCTGTCCTTCATAAAAATAGTTACTGTAATACCCCTACTGCATGTACATTTGTATATGGCTTACTGTGGAGATGGTGATTAAAATAAAAGAAAGGAGAATGCATGCCAGCTTTTATGCCCTGCCTACTAAAAGACCCTGTTGAAAGACGGAAATGACTTGGGATAAGATCTAACTTGCAGTGATCTTATTTCAGTGCAAAACCATCCAAATTGAACCTGTCAAAAGAGCCTGGCTACTCAATAGTGTTGACCTATTTTTCCCAGGCTGAGTGTAATACAAAGTGTCATCAGTG